GTGGGGGGGTGAGGCCGGGGGCACCCCAAGGCGCTGTCCCGGTACATCCGGGGCGTTAAGCTGGGCGCTGGCTGTTACCGGCGTGGGCGATGCGCCGTGGGACTATGGCATCGCCTTCCTGGCAGCCAGGACATGGGGCTTTGGCTGGTGATGGGGGGGTACCGGGGACCCGGAGTCCCCCCGGGGGATGCGGAAGCAACTCGTGCCAAACCCCGGCTCTGCAAGAAGCATCTGGGCGGTGCCCCATGGCCCCTGGGGGGAAACTGAGGCACGTCCGCATCTCCCCCCCAGATCAAGTTGGGGGGCTGGCATGTGCCAGGAGGGGCTGGGGGGGAGTGCACCTGTGTGTCCCACCACGGGGGCCCCCACGTTTCCTGCCTGCTCCTGCGCCTGCAGGCGCTGCCTACAGGAAGAGCTGCTCTCCCGCTGCCCCACGGCACCTGTCGGGTGGCTGGTTCTGCCCCATAGCGTGGTTCTCGGGGTGGGGCGGGGGTGCCTAAGCCCTGTGGAGTGGGGTTTTGCCCCATAGCACGCTGCCCAGGCCCCACAGGGAGGCATCCTGCCCCACAGCACCTGGTATTCTGCCTGTGCCGTGGATCCTGCCCCACGGCGCGGCGCTCTGCGGGGCGTGGATCCTGCTCCATGGCACGGCCCCCCACAGGATGTCACCCTACCTCTCACAGCACCCCACAGGATGCCACCTCGCCACACAGCCCAGCACCCCACAGGATGTTGTCCCACCCCACGGCACAGGGTGCCACCCTGTAGCCTACCGCCCTGCCCCATGGCTTGGTACCCCATGGGATGCCATTCCACCCCCCCCAGCTCAGCACCCTGCCGGGTGACACCCTACCCCATGGCACAGGACCCCACAGGGTGTCATCCTGCCCCATGGCACCATACAGGGCGTACGTCCTGCCCCATAGCACAGCACCCCACAGGGTGCCAGCCCAGCCCCACGGCCGCCCCTGCACGCAGGTTCTCGCAGGGCCGCATCTACACCTACATCGGGGAGGTGGTGGTGGCGGTGAACCCTTACCGAACGCTGGACCTCTACGGCCCGCCAGCGGTGGAACGCTACCGCGGCCGCGAGCTCTACGAGCGCCCGCCCCACCTCTTCGCCCTGGCCGACGCCGCTTACAAGGCTATGAAGCGCCGCGCCAAGGACACCTGCATCGTCATTTCAGGTAGCTGGACAGCGGCGGTTGGGGGGGGGGGCGTGTGTGGGGCGCCCTTGGGTGGGCTCCCCTCGCCCAGTCCCTGCCCTCCTTGCCAGGTGAGAGCGGGGCGGGCAAGACGGAGGCCAGCAAGTACATCATGCAGTACATCGCCGCCATCACCAACCCTACCCAACGCGCCGAGGTGGAGAGGTGGGTCCCGCCCCATGGCGCTGGCGGGAGGGATGGGTGCTGGGGCTGGGGGGGGGGGCCCCTGGGGGGGGGGGGGGGGCCCATAGGGTGGGGGGTCCCCGGTGGCCTCGTCTATGGGGTCGGAGTGGGGAGACAGGGGTGCCCCACACCTGTGGGGTGGTCCTGGGGCGCCCCATGCTCATAAGGGTGGTCTGGGGGTACCAGGAGTGGGTGCTCCATGCCCATAGGGATTGTGGGGGGCAAATGGGGTGCCCCACACCTGTAGGGGGGTCCTGGGGGGGCCCCACGGCCATTCGGGTGGTGTGGGGGGCCCGGGGGTGCCACGTCCTGTGCCCATCGGTGAGGCCGCAGCTGCGCTGCGCCATGTTCTGTGCCATGCCATGTCACACCGTGTCATGCTGTGCCATGCCGTGCCACTCCGCACCATGCCGTGCCATGCCGTGCTATGCCGCATCGCCCCCATGCAGGGTGAAGAACGTGCTGCTGAAGTCCAACTGCGTCCTGGAAGCCTTCGGCAACGCCAAGACCAACCGCAACGACAACTCCAGCCGCTTCGGCAAGTACATGGACATCAACTTCGACTTCAAGGGCGACCCCACTGGCGGCCACATCCACAACTACCTCCTGGAGAAGGTGCGGGGGTGCTGTGGGTGGGCACAGACGGGTGGGTGCTGCGCCCATGCGGACACCACCCGGCACCCACCCCCTGCGCCCTCTTCCAGTCCCGAATCCTCCAGCAGCAGCCGGGAGAGAGGAACTTCCACGCCTTCTACCAGGTGAACCGGGGGACAGGGTGGGGTGGGGTGGATGAGGTGGGATCTGTGGGAAGGGATGGATGGGATCTATGGGGTGGGACGGATGGGATGGGATGGATGGGATCTATGGGATGGGATGGGGATGGGATGGATGGGATCTACAGGATGAGATGGGGATGGGATGACAAGGTTGGGATGGGACAGGTGAGACAACAGATGAGATGGGATGGATGGGATCTACAAGATGGGGCAGGGTGTGATGGTGTGAATGAGATGAATGGGATGGGGACAGGATGGATGGAATGGGAGGGATAAAATGGGATCGGATGAGATGGATGGGATCTCTGGGATGAGATGGAGATGGGATGGGAATGAGATGGTTGGGATGGGTTAGATGAGATGGGATGGATGGGATCTACGGGGTGAAGTGGGTGGGTTTGATGGGATGCGGACAGGATGGAGTGAAAAGGTTGGGATGGGATGGATGGGATCTATGGGATGAGATGGGGATGGGATGGGTGGGATGAGAAGGCTGGAACAGATGGGACCAGTGGGATGGATGGGATCGATGGGATGGAGTGGGATGGATGGGGCAGATGGGATAAATGGGACGGCAATGGACGGGGCAGGGCGAGATAGGACGCGTTGGGATGGGACGGGATGGGCTGCGACAGGGTACGGGGACACCGAACAGCACCAGCCGGACGGGGGGGCCGCCAGGCCGGGGCTTTCAACCCCCCAGCGTGCTAACGGCCCCCCCCTTCCCTCCCAGCTGCTACTGGGAGCCCCGGTGGCTCTACTGGCCTCCCTCCACCTCTGCCAGGACCCCGGCGCCTACCGCTACACCCGGGAGGGTGCCCAGGGCTCCGTGAGTGGGGCTGGGGTGGGCACAGGGTGGGCAGGGGGTGGGCGGGGGGGGTCCCGGCCCCTCACGCCATGTGTCATGTCCCCCCCGCAAAACCCCGACCCCAGGCCTGCGGGGACGACGCGGACGGCTACCGGGCGGTGGAGGAGGCGATGGCCGTCATCGGCTTCTCCCCGGAGGAGATGGGCTCTGTGCGCCGCATCCTGGCCACCATCCTGCACCTGGTGAGGCCCCCACCAGTATGGACACACCCCCCCCCATGCACCAGTATGTTCCCAGGCAGACCGGTATGGCCACAACACACACCAGTATGGGGCTGGGCAAACCAGTACGGCCCCTGTACACCAGTAGGGTCCCCGTGCACCAGTACAGCCCCCCATACCTGTATGGCCCCCACACACACCAATACAACCCCCTCACACCAGTATGGCCCCAGGCAGACCAGCATGGCCCCCCCACACCAGTACAGCCCCAGGCAGACCAGTATGGCCCTGGGCAAACCAGTATCATCCCCCTGCCCATTATGGCCTCTGCGCACCAGTACAGCCTGAAGCAGACCAGTATGGCCCTGGGCGAACCAGTACAGCCCCATGTAAATAAGCATGGCCCCACACTACACAGTCTAGACCAATGGAAACAAGTAGAGACCAGTTCAAACCAGTACAGTCCCACAGAAACCAGTGCACCCCTACGCAGTGTAGTACAGCCCAACGCAAACCAGCATGGCCCAGTATGGCCCAGGACAGCCCAATGCAAACCAGCATGGCCCAGCACAGCCCAGAAAAGCCCAGCACAGCTCAATGCAAACCAGCATGGCCCAGCTCAGCCCAATGCAAACCAGCATGGCCCAACACAGCCCAATGCAAACCAGTATGGCCCAGCACAGCCCAGTAAAGCCCAGCGTGGCCTGATGCAAACCAGTATGGCCCAGCACAGCCCAATGCAAACCAGTATGGCCCAACACAGACCAGTAAAGCCCAGCTCAACCCAATGCAAACCAGTTTAGCCCAATGCAAAGCAGCATGGCCCAGAAAAGCCCAGCACAGCCCAATTCAAACCCGTATAGCCCCATACAAACCAGTACAGACCTGTATGGCCCAGTCCAGCCCAGGGTACGGGAGCGGCTCATGCCGGGACACCCCAGCCCCTTCCCAGGATGCTCCCGGGTGTCCCCCCACCTTCATCCTCCAACGTGGCATGACGGGGCTGCCCCAGGGCAACGTCGGGTTCGTGGCGGAGGGCGAGACAGCGGCGGTGGAGGACGCGGCGCAGCTCTCGGCGCTGGCCGAGCTGACGGCCACGGCGCCCGGCAGCCTGCGCCAGGCTCTCCTGACCCGCACCGTGGCGGCCGGCGGCGGGGAGCTGATCGAGAAGGGCCACAGCCCCAAGGAGGCTGCCTACGCCCGGGACGCCTGTGCCAAGGTATGGAGGGGATGTAGGGTGATGGTCCCCCCCCCCAGCATCCTTGGGTGCCCACCACCCTGTCCCTGTCCCCAGGCCATCTACGAGCGTCTCTTCTGCTGGATCGTGGGGCGCATCAATGCCAGCATCGCCGCCCACGACTACGATGT